CAAAAACTTGAGAAGAAAAAGGAGGAGGGGAATATGAAGTGTACAACACCAAGCTAGTTTTGAAAAATATCCATTATGTCAAAACCACAAGAAGGTGGGCAAAATAAAAGATTAAAGTTCAGAAATCATTTCACATGATGTAAACATCCTCAAACATACCTAAGAGAGAGAGAAAGAAATGAAACAAGCAGAAGTGTAATGATGATTAAGGCTAGCACTGTAGCAGAAAAAAACAGCTTTTTAGAATCTGAAGGCAATTAGACCTGAGTAAAAGAAACTGATCTTCATCAAAACTGAAAGAAAATGCTAAACTAAACATCCATATAATTATTATACCTGCCAGAAGCATCAAAATGTAATGGCACAAACACAGTAAAAAATAATTCTGACAATGTATCGACAATTTTACTCAGGATGCTATAGACCCATTGCATAAGTAAGGCTTCCAACAAAAGTATAGAAATTCTGATAATAATGGAAACAGTTGTATGAGAAAGAACACTGTAGCAAAGTTAACAGCACAACTGTCAACAAAAAAATCTAAATTAGGACAGGAAAGCAGAGCTTATGTAAGAACCTCAGACATTTGCACAATAAGTCACATGGAGGGGAGCGATTGATCAATCATGGGTAAGTAATGCATGCTCTCTGCAAAACATAAAAAACATTCGGAAATTTTGAGTCACATTTTGGGAAAGAGTTTCAGTAATTTGGAGGCAGGTCTACCTGATTATGAATATTATTTAAAACATACAATTAAGTTATCTTCACTATGTGTCTGCTTTAAAGATTTGCAGGCCATTAGCCTTTAGGCAACTCCCACCTAATGTCACAGGATTTTTTGTGAATTGCAATACTGCATGATGACTTTACTATGAAGCAAAAGCCCTCCATCAATATGAGGGTGACACATCATCTTGCATATTAACTTCTTCTAGGCTTTTACACTTATGAATCTTCACTCTTTGATGAGGCAAGAAATACTAAGGTACACCAGAAGTGGGGAGAAAGGGTGTAAATATGTGTGAAGAGGTATCTATAGGAAATACAGTTTCAGGTAAGGAAAATGTTGACTTTCAAGATGATACACACTTCTGCACACAATTAAGCTAGAATCCCAAGCTGAAGTGGTGGAGGGGCTAGTGCAAAGATTTACCTAGACTATTGGACCAACATCTACTGCAGGAAGGACTGGAACAAGGTGGAGAGAACTGAGAAGGAAAACAACTTGTGGTATCGAGAAAAGCAAAATGTTGTAGACATGGCAGCCCAATAACTGGAAACAGCTGAGCCACTGACAAACAGCCAGGTAAAAGGAAGAGAGAAAGAGAGATGGCTGACAGTAGGATGGGCAAGAGGAACGTGGCAACAGATGGATCAAAATCGAAAAACATGCTACTTATGTAGGTAGACGGATAAGGTAGAAGGATGACAGGAATGGGAAAGGCTACCAGAGTGGGAAGTCTGGTTCAATAAATCTCAAATAAAAAGGTGGAGGGACAAGATCCATTGATAGAACAGTGATATATGATGTTGAAGCAAGAAAAAGACTATAGTTGGCAGAGGAAGAGGAGGTTGTGTTGTCAAGTGGCACAGAAGAAAGAGCCAAGGTTGAGCTAGCCAGAAGAGTACCACCAAGAGGATATGACAAGAAGCATCTCTAATCAAGGTCAGAATCAAAGTTAAAATATGGAGAGGTGGGTAAACATCATGAAAAGGATAAGATAACCAGTCCTGGCTGAAGGCATCAACAGCCAGGGATAGGGAACATGTGATCAGAAGAGAGGAAGCTTGGAAATGAGAGGGGTGGCAAGGCATTAATGAGGTATCAAAGAGAGCATCCCCAACAGAAACCTGGGGTGAATAGGCCATTCTGTGGACAAAACACAGTCTGGCCATGAGAGGCAGTATACATCCAGGTTCATAACACCTGGTATGTTGCAGGCAATAAGATAAACCCAATGTAAATTGTTCGAATAAGGAAGGTCCAGGGTTTGAAAGCAAGGAGTCTTGGATTGGATTCTACCATGGTAGTTGACATAAGAAAAAAACGATTTTTCATCAAAATGGATCATAAAGAAATGATCCACTAAGAGGTATAAAACTGAAAGCATGCCTGATGGACTACCAGAAGTTTGAGTGCATTGGTATGGAAGAAGACTTATCCTGGGTCCATATGCCAGATGTGAAATTGTTATCCAGAGACGCTCCCCAACCAGAGGGGGAAGCATCGGTGAAGAGGTGCAGGTCCAGTTTGAGTGGAGGAAATGGAACACAGATGGCGATATTGGATCAGTCCAGCCACCAATACAAATTCTCGAGTAGAGATGGGGAAAGGTGAACCATTGAGGTCAAAGTTTCCATTGAGAAGTTTCCCTAGTTATGCAAGGACCAATGGAAGAGGTGCATATTTGTATGACCCAAAGGGATAGGCAGTTACAGTGAAGCTATAGTCTCCAAACACTAAAAACCTCTCTCAAAGTATGAGTAAGATAGGTGTGAATCCTGGTGACTAGTAGTTCCATAGCTTGCAGGCAGAAGGGAGAAGGCTGAGCACACCTGAGAAGTAAATTGAAACACACTCCCAGGTAAATAAGGTATTGAGTAAGAGTGAGGTATATGTGAAAGTGTTGACAAACTCCATTTCCTCGAGATGTTGTACACAGATGGGATAGGAAGAAGTAAATATAAGGGCTGAGAGTAGGAGAGAAAGTCCATGGGCATGTGAAGAGGAAAGAAGCATAGTAAAAAAGATCAGGTGAAGATAGAAGTATTGGGCACTGGAGGGAGAAACTGATTCTAAATAATCT